GTGGCAGCAGCAGCAATGATGACTTTCTATGAAGCCACAATTAGCTATAGGAAGGATTTGGATCTTCCTGATTTAGTGTAATAAGGTTTACTTGTTAGTATTAAATATTATTAATATATATAGTAATAATGAGTGATTAGGTGATGTTAGGTGATATAATTCGAAATAAAATTTGTAAAGATTTACAAAAATTTAACCAATGAAATCGATTTAATATCATACCATTCAGAAAAGAATACTGATTTTTTTTCCAATTTATCAATATTGCATCAATATATTTCATATTATCTGTTTTCTTTTAAATCACTTTTCAAAAAGTGCAAAGAAGCTAAAGAAAAGAATCACAATGTCGGACTCTTTCTTCGGCTTCGATACTACAATGCCACCATTAAATAATGAACAGTTGGCTGAATTAAATAGTGAAAGCATTGAAGAAAAAGATGATAATGTAGAAGAAATTGAAAAGAAATTTAAAAATTGGCTCCTTCAACCTGATCAAGAGTACGAGTACAATTTAAGCTCTCAATTGGAAGAGGCAGGAGACGAACTTAATGATTTAACTTTTGGAACAGAAGTAAATATTGGTGCGTGATTGATCTTTTTTAGACATGCATTATCTATTTAGGCTCTTTTTTTTTTGCATTGTAGAATTTTACCGAAAATATGATATAGAGCAATTAATTTTAATTACAGATCAAATTATTTAAGCCTCATAATTTTTTAAATAGAAATATCAGTCCGATATATCAAAATTTCGCGTCGATTGTTCCTCATTTAATTTTTCTTCAATTAATCAAATTTAGGAAAAGATTTTGATTTTTTTGAAAATAATACTAAAATTACCGATACAATAAAGAATGAAGAAGCTTTATATGTTAATCGAGGGGAAGACTTTAATGCGGAATTTTTCGATGGTATTATTATGATTCATGCATGCTTCAAATTTTATAATTTAACAATTTTGATTTTTGACTTATCAATAATAATTTATGTAATTATAGATATAAATAATCATAGGGCATCTTCCTATTCATCTTTATGGGGAAATGATCCAGAGACTATAGCCAATGGAAAATCTGGACATACAAAAGAAATTATAGGAACACCAACGTTACCCGAGGTGCTTAAAATCTTTCAATTTTTTTCTTTAATCTTATTTATTTTACAGTATGTTAAATTCTTTTCAAAAAACTTTCATTTTAGTCACCAATAAGTCCTTCAATATGGGGATCTTTTCATCCTCAATCAAATCGTAGAGGTATAGTAATTGACGAATTCAATAAAGATTTTTTTAATTAAAATATAATACAAATACCAATAACTTTTTTATTTATTTCTTAATTAGATTCTCTTAGTCTTATTCAAGAAAGTAATAATATCAATAACATGACAGGTCATTACGGTATTCCTCAACGATACCCTCCTCTCCAAACATCTCCTCCACCTGGGTTTGGCCCACCACCACTACCACCACCACCACCCCATCCCCCACCTTCACATATTCAAATGTCCTTGGAAGATATTGACATGCATTTACATAGGGGAATTCCTGAAAAAAGGATGTTGAGTTTAGCAGAAGTTGAGGCTGCTATATTAGGTTTAAATGGTATCCCTCCTCCTCTTCCTATGTTTCCTTCAACAACAGATGCTGCTTTGAGAGAACAGGAAAAAATAGTTTTATTAGAACAAGAGGCTGCATTGAGAGAACAAGAGGCTATTATGCACCAGAGAGAGAAAAAAAAAAGAGAGAAACAACGAAAATTGGCTGAAATTGTAATTATTTTATATATTTTGTTAACTGAAATATTATTTCTAAACTAAATGTTCCATTGTTATTTTTTTCATAGTCAAAATACAATGGTCTTATGACCCAAAGTGATAAAGATTATGTAAACCGCATTCAAATATCACAGCTCGTTACTGATGATCCTTATGCTGATGACTTTTATTGTCAAGTTTATTCCGCAGTGCGATCACGACAACCACAACCACACATGGGTAACTTTTCACATCATCATGGTGGTAATAATGGTGGAGGTTTCATGGGTCATGAACGTGGTCGACATCGAAGTAGAGGATCAGAAAGCGGTTTATTCAAGATGCAACAACAAGTTTTACGAATAGTAAATGATGCTAGAAGGAAACCAAAGTTAACCCAGCGTAAGAAGTTGGTTTTTACTTTTTATTTCTATTGAAAATTTGTACAGGCAAACACGCAAACACGCACACATATTGTTATAAATTATTAAATAATCGACTTGTTTATTTTTAGTATCACTTGAAGGTGCTTTGGGTAAAATTGCACTTAATTCAGTTCGTAATCCTAGGCAATTATTACAAGTTTCTGCAAAACCACATGATACGCATAATGCAACTGTTAGTTCTCCTGGACAACAACAACAACATTTTCATCAGAAAATACCCTATATTACAACACATGGTGTCATGGATCATAAAAAGGTATTACGTTCTATTGAAAATTGTTTTTCTGCTGTGTTAGTGCTAGAAGAGTTGAGAAGAAATCATCCTTTGCCCCCTCGATCATATGGCGATCATGAGAGAGAAAAGGCAATTGAAAAATGGTATGTATATATATATATATATGTATATACATTTTTATTGAAATAGTTCAAAAACGATTTTATTTTTTACAAATTTGTTTAATAGATCAATTATAATTAATCGTATATTTTAATTTTTTTTTTTTTAGGAATGATGAATGTTCAAAAATAATAAAATCAATGTGGGATGAATTAAGAGTTGATGAACAGCCTGTGGGCGCTGGGTATATTTGCTAATTGATTATTAATTAATTGTTTGTGCTAATGAAAAAAACCATTTATTAAATCGTTTAAAATGTTTTGCGGGAAAATAGTTATTTACATCCGTTCATTAGTATACTCTCAGTAAGAAAAGGGAAAAAGCTTATTCCACGAATCATAAGATATTTTGCATCAGATCAGATGATCAGTTTGCTTAGTGTTTTAGTGATGAATTTTGAATCACTAGATGTTTGTAAAGGTGCAATATGGGGATCTCAAATATACGGTGCCTTAACAATGCTTGAAGATGTAGAGCTTTTTATGAATACTGTGGTTCCACCTCTATTGCAATACGTTGCAGAAGCCCCAATTCATATCATTAGTAGATTATTTGCATTTTTCCTTGAAAAGAATCAAATCATTTGGGTTTCAAGATGCAAGGTATGATAAAAGCTTTTTTTTTTTTTTTGTGGATTATTTTTCTTCTTTCTCTTCCTTTCTCACAATAATAATACGTTTGAAAAAATTAAAGGTCGGATTGGCTTTCTTGACAATGTTTTTGAGTCGTGCTGAAATATTGAAACAAGGTGGAGGAAAAAATCAAAGTTTACCAATTCCTGATGAACATGAACTTTTACAATGGTATTTCATAATTAACGAATTTTTTAAAAAAATAAATGTTTATATAATAATAATTATCATCTAATAAAATTATATTATTAATCAGGCAGGACTTATATAATAGATTATTTAATCTCTTACAAGGACATTATGTTTCTTTATTTCCTCCATTTGGATATGGTATTGATGACATGTATGTATGGCAATTTCTTGCGGCAATGGCTGTTGGTGCTTCAATTGAGCAACAACATGTTTTAGTAACTGAAGTGAGGTAATAATACCTATTATATTTTTTATGTATATTATTATCATATATATTATTGTTCGATTACAACGTTTAATTAAAAAAAAAATTCTTTTTGATTAATTATTTAGAGAGAGAGTAATTGAAACAATATCAAAAGCTAACAATAGATTTGCATCAGATAAAACAGTTCATAAAATTGCAAATGTCAATTTATTTTTAAATGCATTAGGACTTGATGCATCTCAGTTAAATCTTTAGAAAAAACTTTTTTTAAAATTTGTATTATATTAAAAGGAAAAAAATTGATTTTTACATATATATATATAATTTTTTTTTTTTTTGCAAAAAAGAAATTGCAATAATTGGATCATTTTTTTTTTTTTTAAGAATTAATAATTTTTTTTTTTAAAAAACAAAATATATATTATATAAATTTTTTTAATACGAAATATATATATATTAATTTTTATAATTAGAGTTAATTAATATTTAATCTAAAAGAAAATAGTTGTAATATGAAATTTGAGGAAATTCAATTTTTATTTTTAATATATATAGATGATAATAATTATAATATTAATTTAAAAAATAAATTATTGCATTAAACCTCCCCTTCCAAAAAAATTATCTTCGCAGATCGTTGTCATTTTGGGAAAATATCACAGGGCAGGGTTCCTGGTCATGTTATATTGATCTATCCATCAGTGAAGGAAAAGAGTATTAAACATCATAGCAATAGTAGAATTAATCAGTGTCCATAATCTGGAACTGCTGCAGAAATAGCACAATATTTTATATGTAGATATAAAATCCCGAGTTTCTGGCTATCTTTCTAAAAATGACAAAAGAAAAACTCGGCGAGAGCTTTATTAAATATGGTCTTAACTGCTCTACAAGCTTATCAAAAAATAGTCAATAGTTTCAAATAAAAGATGAGGGAGGCATTAATTGCTAAATCATAATCGCGTTATGATTAAATGAAATTTTTGGTAATACAAAATGTTCATTTTGTTGCAGCATTCCCCATATGACGGCTTAGAGCCACCATCAAGTTTTTAAAGTGATATATTGAAAAATAATCTCAGCTTTGAATAGCTGTGGATTTATGTAGGGAAGACTTTTCCATATGAAAAGAAAGGTTTTAATGGTGCGATTTCGTTTTACTATAACATTTTATATCAATCGAGGTAGATTAAGCCACCCACTTTTATCAGTTATTATATTTTATTGATAATTGTCATGTGTTCAAGATGACACAAAGAAAAAATTGAATCCTTTGGCTTTCATTATGGTGTATTATTCCCCCTCTTTGAAATTCTTGAATGAACAATATAATAAAAAAAGTACAATATGGTTCACACTCTCTCTAACGGCCCTTCTGTTTCAGCGAAAAAAAATCCATTATAGACAGTATATGAGACATAGGAGATATTAAAACCGTTACAAATTTTTACAAATTAAAATTTTTATAGAATTCTTTAGAACTCTAAGGAAATCCAGCAACCCGATAAAGAATTAAATCGAACCAGAAAATTTCACCCAACGAAAATAAAAAATTTATTTTACCTTAACGAATCATTATTCTTATCCCTTGTACTTTTTGATATTTAAAATTTGTGTGAACTGATTTTTTTACCTGAAGATACTTTAACACATTGATGTATTGATGAACGACAAAATAAATAGCCTTTTTAAAACTAAAATAATTGATTTTTGGTAAAATTTGGGTAGAAAATGTGTTTGTATATAGATCAAACATGTAAATATTAACTTCGTTTGTTTGCTTTTCTTTTTCTTTGGTTCGTAAACTATCTAAAAATACTCTAAAATTTTTTTGATTAATTTCGTTATCACTGAAGTTATTACTTTCTACCAAGTTTCAAAGCGGATAAAAATAATTATCAATTTATATGCTTAAAAACGAACAAAATCATATCATTGTACGTGCGCAAAAATTGGTAGACATTGAATTGTCAAAAGGTACATCAAATTTCTATTTGAATGGATCATATGCTTCAAAAGCTCAATTCCCCTTGAAAAATTCCTTTTCATCGAACACAAGGTTTAACTCTACTCGCAGATATTTTTTCCTGCAGGCATATATCGTCCTTAGTATATAGGTGTATCTCTTGGGCAGATATTCAAATAATTTTGTTGGATAAGAATGCCTCTATCGAAGAATATAAAAGATTAGAAAAAAAGGTTTCCATTCCTTTACAAATATAAAATTATTCTTATAAAAAAAAGCATTCCCCTAGATAATTCAATTAATTTCGAAGATTTTATTAATAGAAACTTAACAATTTGGAACGACATCGAGTTATTGCTTGAAAGAGCAGAGGAAAAATAAATACACAATTAACATTCTAATAAAAATCGGTAATTAAGTTTTAAAAATAAAAATGTTTTTTTGTTTAAAACGCTTTGGTAAAAAGAGCCACGTTTTATTTTCTTTAGAGAGTAGACAAAGGTTAAACTAACATTGGTTAGCTGATGAGTGTTGGCAAAGTATTGTACAAAGATTAATTGGATAATGTTATTGTAATTGTAAATGTAAAGCAATTGACCAATGAATATAAACAACTGAAATAAATCAATCACAAGAAAACTTTATAGAAGACCTTGAGCTTTGTAAAGGGGCCATCTTTATTTATTTACAGTTATCTGGTACCATTCAATGTGCTTACAGATTCGTCTAGGCGCAAGAAAGAGAGAACCAAAGTAAAATTGTAAACTAATTAATTAATTGACAAGCACCAAATTATTCCGAGTTGCTTGCAATTAACTAACAAGAGCAGTCCAAAAGTTAAGCCGTAATCAGCCATACATGTTAAATAACCAAAATGCTACCTTGCAATATCACCATTTAACAAGAATTAAAAAACCCCATAAAAGTTTATTATTATTATAATTTAGCTATATATAAAAAATAAAATAAAGATAAAATAAAAAGTATAATGAATAAATAATTTATAGTAGGTGATTAAATCAGTCATTCATCAATCCTAGAATCTAATGTTATTATTAGTTAATTAAAAATATTGTTAGTAAATGGATAGTAATTTCCAATTAATTATTAATAATGAAATTTTTATTCACCTTCAACATTTAAGAGAAGAGAGCTAA